CTATTAAAAACCTATGAAAATAATACTGTAGTCATGATAATTTCATGACGGAATTGTTATTTGTTTACTAGTATCATATATTGTGTTCAATAATACGATTACACGAGTGTCTCTTGACAGAACTGTTGCACGTTTGCATTAGGCCGGTACTTAAAATCAGTTCTTATATTAACAAGAACGGACTATGCCTATCGCCTATATCGTTATTCTTATATTTAACTACAGTCTTAAGATGTCGTAAGCCAATCACAGACAATCATGATATTCATAATCAGTTCTTATGTTAAGATCATCTTGGTAATGTCTTAAGATGCTAATATGACTCTGGATTAGCTTAAGACTGTACATCTTAAGACTGTACTTAAGACAATCTTAAATACAAAAATAACGATAGACATCCGTTCTTGTTTTAAGATCATGTTTGAAGTAATCTCTTAAAATGCTAATGTTTCTCTGGTAAATTCATGATATCTGAAGACCGTACTTAAGATAATCCCAAAATGTAAGAGTCAATTTTATGAAATACCGTTCTATGAAAACCGGTATAAAACTATATTAGCATAATACAAGTATATTACATATATGAAATTACTTAAGACAGTCTAGGAGTAAAAATGAACTATGGATAGTATGGATACCGATCTAGGCTACATTCAGAAACACTAAATGCCACTATTATTTTATCCTATCACCAAATATCAAATATTTAAAATAATACAAGCACTTGAATGATATTCTATGATTTCTAAACAAAGCTTTAATGACATAAGCTATTGTATCCACAGCGAAACAATTTACTAAATTTTATTAAATATTTGTTTAAATATTACTAACAAAAATATTTACTTACAGTAAATAAATATATATTTAGAATAAAAAATAATACTTAAATTAAATAAATATGTGTTTACATTAATAGTAAATATTTCGTTAGTACTATTCAAATAAATTTTCAAGAAAATTCAGTAAATCTGTTTCAATGTGATACTACAATCACACAAAATTTATTTGACGAAATTGTTGCACATCTATACTACTGATAGTTATATCATATAATACAATACATTAATGCACATTATTCTATGATATTATATATTTAACAGTAAATTTCCCGTTAGGTACAACAGGCGTACGTAATACTATATATATCATTACTACTGACTTAATTATTCAACAAGTTATATTCAAAGAAAAATCATATCTCGCTTCAAATCTCTCGAAAGAATAGATAAGTGATTTTCGCAATCTAAAGTACCGTCAGAATCCGTGCTTACTGAAACTATACGTTGATCACAATTCTTACGCGTTTGACAACGTCAAACAATCGACAAAACTCTTATCACGAGAGTCCGCGGATTAACCAATAACTTCTGACGATAACTCGTTGCTTTGATCGACATTCCCCAACATTTCCGACACAAATTCGCGCACATCGTGTATTTTTGACGGTCGAAATTCGCGATTACTTACGGAACGATCCAGAATTGATACAACTCCGGTCAAAGATGAAACTGTCATGGCGGCCGACCGGCCGATCTGCGCGCGCGATCTTGAAATCAAGAATACTTTGAAATATAAGTAACAATCAAACATGCTTCCTATGTGTTTCTTAGCAAGCTGTGATCAGCTGCATTTTATTCGATGTTTCCTACATAGATTCGGATGGATAGGTAAAAAATTACGTATATAATCTATAAGAAAAGTGGAATATTTTGAAATGTCAAATTGGCGCGTGCAGCGTGCAGTTCACTTCAATGATCACACTCACTCTAGGCTGCTTTTTTATACTGACGCTTGACGCTCATTTTCAGCATCAAAACAGATCACATGACCTGTTTTGACGCTCGAATCGAGCGTCGAGCGTCAGCATGAAAAATGCAGCTTTAAATTTGTTCTTTTAACCCGGATCTGCAATAGGCGATAGATTTTTAAGCTTTAAGCCATAAAAAATCCGCAATCAATTATTCTTCTCGCATTCGACTACAATTGGTTAATTTCTTATGGCTTGAGGCTTAAAACATCTATTGTAGATCCGGATTTAAGGCCAAAATCAGAGACTACGCATTGAAGAATAAAATTGAAGATTGAAAGATTGAAAGTTTGACCAATCAGAACAAAAGGAACCAAAGCTTCTTTGTCCTTATTGGTGAAATTACAATCTTTAATCTTTAATCTCAATTTTTAATGCATAGTCTGATTCTAGCCTTAGCTGCTTTTCTGCTAAACAGTCATTAGCTGCGTTCAGCAGAACGTTTATTTTGCAACTGTTGGAAGTTTTCTTCACGCTGATTGGGTTATGCTTTTAGATCAAGAGAAATGGTCCTATCTTAGCAAAGAATCATAAAACGGTTGCAAAACTGTTGTGTTCTGAGGGTCGATTGTGGATTTTGAAAGGAAGTGAAAATTACAAAAGTGAGCAAAGATTACTAGGTATTGACCAATTAAATTACGAATACTCTAATGAATTTGCTCACTTTTGTAATTTTCATCTTATTTGAAAATACACAACCGGCTCTGCTGAACGCAGACATTCTAAAATCACGGTGTGACCAATCAAAATTTAGAGCATGTTAGTTCATGTAGTCACCAATAGATGTCTCTATCCGTTTGATAACGAACGACAAATGTGTGCGTCTTTCTTCATGCTTGCGTACGAGTGTTAGTAAGCGTATCTAACCTTAATTCGATGTGCATAACATAATTATCAAAATTTACTTTTGTGCCATATAATTTGAAAGGACGGATTGAAGGCACATGAAAGTTTATTACTTAGTGAAGAGCAAAAAAAAACTATAATTATTAAGAAAATATTAAACTAAATAATTATAAAAAAAATAATTACCTTCCGACAATCCTAACTTTATACGATGATTTGATTGTTCATTTAAATTCCCATGGGAGACAGAATTGAAATCAACATGTTAAAGAATATAAATGGCTCTCGTGAGCAACAATTAGAAAAACTGAAGAACTTTACTGATACAATTAACGAAGAAATTGCCAATATCGTTGGAACGTTAGGTTGGAATATGGAGAGCGTAACAGACGTGGTAAGTAATCTGGATATCTTTTTTTTGGCTATATTACTTTTAACTATTGCATTTATATAGGACAAGGAATATTTCACATGTCCGTATGATCCGTCTCACCGGTTAACAGAAGCCTCTCTCAATGATCATCTTGTCTCTTGTCAATGGAAAGCTGAAGGTTACGGAAAGCTAGATGTCCCATTATCAGAACCAACTCTACCAGAGGATTCACCATTCTGTATAAAGTTTGGTAAGAAACTTGTCTATAATGAGCATTTTAAACCTACTGGAATTATATTAACTTCTTATACCTTCATGAAATGTTTGTTGTAGATGAGCAACTTCAAGAACAAGTTCTCAGGAATGCCAAAGAACAAAATTCAACAATACAAACTGGTTAGTAAAAACATAGCGATTGTACGCATTTGTATGCTTTTTAAATGACAATGAAATTTTTTCCAGCAAATTATGATTGTTATACTTGTGGCGCAGAATCAATATATCCTTTTACATATCCTTTATTTAATATTTTATAACCACAATATTGCAAAGATATTTGTAATCTAATAATTGTTCATATAATTTTTCTATTTAGTAATATAATTGAAAAATAACTGTACAACTTTTACTTTAAAATAGAGAAACTTTTATTGTTTTATCTCTTATGATTGTATTGTTACAACTATGAAAAAAATAAATTCTTAACACTGATAATAGGTATGGGTGAGCGGTTAGTACCGCGTACATCTGATAGGATTGTCACAGATTTCACCAGTGACGAAAGGAAAGCACTATATGACTATGTCATCGCTAATACTGCAAAACCAGACATTGGAGAAGACATTGCAAATATTAATAATTTCTGAGTTTTTTAAATTTAAATTAATATTTATAATTAATATATGTAATGTCTGTGCTAGTGTATAAATATATATTATGTACTCTTATATTAAGTTTATGAATGTTGTAAATTGTTTTTCTAGGGAGCCACAAGAAAAAGAAGATAAAGAATTGTCATTTTTGGAGTTGTTAATACAAGAGCGGAACTTGAAAAGACGTCGAGTAAAACATAAAGGCGTTCATACAAACAAGAGATCTTATATTGAAATTCTCAGAGAAGTGATTAATCAACAAATGGAAATATTTGTAGATTATGTCTCTGAACAAAGTAATTCTGAACATGTAACAGATATTCGCAACACCGAAACAGATGATTTGAACTATGAACAAATACAAGATAGAACTGAACGTTTATACAAAGTATTTCATTCTTCCCGCAACAATAATGAATATAATTCTAGAGAAAGAAATGATCATCACCACAAGAAAAAAAGAGAGCATTCAGAAGAAAGAAATTATCATCGATCAAGAGGAGAAGATAGACAAAAAAGATACTCGGATGAAACAGACAGAAAGCACAAGCATGAACATAGAAATATAGAAATTTCATCACATTCGAGAGAACGGAAGTCGCATAAAAAAGACAAATATCGAAGCAAAGACAAACACAAAGATAAATATCATAAAAAGAAACATATATCTGGAGATCGTGATAAATCATCAGAGAGATATTCAAAACATAATGATCATAAACGTGCGCGAAAAGACAAAAGTAAAGAATACTAGCGCACTAATACTGTGAACTAATTATGAAAATCACGAGAAAAATGAAACTTATTTAATGATTTATGTATTTGAAGCCATAATTATAATTAATATGATAATACGAATCTTACATTATTAGAATTTGCTTTGTGAAATGTATATATATATTTTTTTTATTAGCTTGAATGAAACTCATTTTTAACTTAAAAATTGTATTTATTCTATAGATTTTATTATTTGATTCTTATACAAATACAAATGAAAATTTATATATAGATATATTAGAGTAAGGGGCATAGGATAATAATTGGATTGAATAGAGTATATATTAATAGTTTAGTAATAGAGAAAATTATTTGATTAAATCTATCCATTGACTTTTCTAAATCATTAATTAATATTAATGATAATATTAATGAGTAATTTGTTTGACATCGAATTATTTATTATAATTGCATTTGTTATTTGTTTTTGTTTTAACGACTGTTGTATCTTGAAATTTTTTATGCAGGAAGTGCTTAGGAAGTTTCTTCTGTTTCTTAGGTTTGTTCAAATGTTTCTTTTTTAATTTATTAGTACTGACAGTACTGCTGCAGTTATAAGCAATTTGCAATTTTTGTATATCATAATATGATAAGTGATTTCTTTGACCAACCTCCACATAAAAATTCTATAAAAAAAGAATTTTATTATTGATTCAATTAATACAATTACATATTCAATATTAAGAATAAAATATAAGTATTAAAAATTTTTAATTTTTACAATATTTTTTATATTGTATTCGAAAATTGATATTACCTTAGGTATTATTGTAGGAAGTGACCGATTAGTAGAAAACGCCGTCATAGAATAGTGCATTATACTATCGTAATCATATGGTAATCCATAATTAGTCACGATACTATTATTTAATAGCTCGAAGTTGAATTCATCTCCTGTAAGAATCATTTATTAGTCCCCTTTAGTTTAGTATTAATTTACATACTGTATTGATTACCCTTTCTCATGTTTTCCCATATTATGTTGATGTATTTGTCGCGATCTGGTCTCATATGCTCATGATATACACCTAAAATGTGCAATAGCTCATGTATTGAGTGTCCAACTATGTGAAAACAATCCTTCACGTTTAGATTTAGAATACTTGGCCCGTAAGCGTTACATCCTATATCAGAGTAGCAACCCGCATCGTGACCTGTGATATTGACCCAATTACTTTTTGTTGAAAGCTCTGCATAGTCATCAATACGGATGAATTTAATGCATGTCTTCGACATTATCATTTGTAATGCAGTCTCCAGCATAATGAATTTTAGCGGCTCATTAACTGGAACAGATAATAAATGTTTAAATATTTAGATCTGATAAATAAGCTTTAAATATTATATAGTAATATTTGATTTTTATTGGAATACGTAAACTTTATTTGTAAACTTGTTTTAGTTGCATGTAGACTACTATTTTGACTTAGATTTGCAGAAACGACTCACCTATGGATGAATGAACGTAATAGTTGACGATACCATTAGGCCATAGTAAAGTTTTCTCCGTTGTAATGGTTTTTCTTGATTTCCGACGTATATCTCCTTCTCGTTGTACTCCTTCTTCAGGATTATTATATTGAGACCATAAATCAACTATGTAAATATAAATAGGGTAATTATTCTTATTAGTGACCGATATTCATAGTCGATTCTTATATTCAAGACTGTACACTGAAAAAAAATATAGTCAAGATATATTTATTTGATATAAGAAATGTTAATTTGATTTAACAATCATTTTTTTTACTGAACAAATATTTATTTACTGTAAGTAAATGTTTAGTTGGCAGTATTGAACTAAATATTTATTAAAATTGACTATATTTTTTTCTCAGTGTACGTCTTGAGTATAGTCTTAAGGTGTTACGAACTAATCAAAGGATCGCATTAACGTCTTAAGACATTACTTAAGACAGTCTTGAAATAAGAATCAACAAGAATATCGGTCAGTGTCTTTTTTCATATTTTTCAGATTGTCAATTTTTAATTTAAAAAAATGTAACGAAAACATCTAAAAAAAATTCTGAATGACACTTTAGAATGTCCTAAATGAGTATCTAAATTCCCGTTGCTGTTTCGATATTGATAACAGTTCGGTATAAAATATATGCGTTTTTTAGTCTAAATTTTAAATATTTGTTTAGTTATAGTAACTATACAAATAAGACTTTATATTTGCTTATTTTTTAAACACTGGTCCATGTTCTAAGAACTCTACGAAAACAAGAAGCCCAGTTAATATCTTAATATCAAGAAATTCATCAAAATAATTAAAATCTGAGTGAAAAAAAGGTGAGATTCTGAAAATCTCCTCGTGGATGCAAAGAGTTAATTAATTAAGTTAAAAAATAGAATATTATCTTTGGGATATCGTATACATTAATAATTTAACTTAATAAATACTTAATAACTTAATTAATAGTTTAACTTAATAAAAGATATTTTTTCTTATTTGTACATTAGCAATAGATAAAAACGATAATCCGCAAACTTTCTAGTCTTTGAATATCTTTAGTTATTTTGATATAGATATCCACAGTATTTTTGTCTACACATTTTCAGGCACAATCAGAGAATAAGTTTCATTTTTTTACTCACGTTTGTAGCTAATAAATGGGCTATGAGTAGACTTCCTTGTTTTCACTATTTTAGGTAACATTTGTAGCGGTCTTATTATCCAAGGATTAATAAACTGCACTGGATATGCGTTAATGTTCGTAACAAACCAGTTACCCAATAAAAGCACCAATGCTAGAGAGAACAAGCCACGAAGACATTGAGCTTTCAGCTGCATCTTTCTCGAGCGAATTACAAGCGTGAATTGATGTTTTATCGTCAGCGTGAACTACAATAATTACATTAAAACTGATTCAGAGTATATCGCAGTTAATGTATTAGAATTCTTTTCACAGATCGAATGGTGAATAACACGTACGAGACACCTTTGTAAGTAGATTGAATTGGGGTACCATTGTTTAAAAAAGAATTAATAGAGTTATAACAATTGCCAGTGAGAAACCTTGATCGATTAGTCATATCACTGGTGTAACTTTTATTGCAACAGGTTTTGTTCCTCATGGAATTAAATTTAAATAATATATTTTATATTGCATATTAACATTGTGAGAAATATCCTTCTAAAATCCTATATACATCAGAAAGTAACATTTTTTTTATCTTAAATTTTCATTTATTATTAATATTATATTAATTGATGTTATCTTCGTCATATCATGGTAATTTAGTTTGTTTAGAAACAAGTACGTTTTATCGTAAAGAAAAGTTATAAAAATTATGGCGTGCATAAAAAGGATTATATTCCATGAAGATTCTATTTTTTATTCTCGTTAAATTAACACTGTACAATTAACAGCGTATAATTAATTTGTTACGGTAATAGAGATTATGGGATGATTATAAAGAAGTGTGTCTTATTGAAAAATATTTTTTTATAAAATGAATCATATATAGGTATGAGGGATTTATGATATGTGTTATATTTATGTGTAATGTATTTTTAATTCTGTTTATAAAAAATTTTTTTTATCAAGCGACACAGCAATGCTGCTGATTACAATACGTTGGAGTCTCAAGAAGGCTCTACAGCAACAGAGAGGGAAAATGTGTTAAATAACTATAGTTTTCACATATTATCCTTCTCATATTCAATAATGTTTTTTAGTTGTAGGTATGGCATTGATTTTAAAAAAATTAAAGAACTTAGAGTATTGCATGAAAATATTACAAAAATTTATAAATAGAGATTTAAATAACAATAAATTAGACGTAACATTTTTGTTAAATTGTAAAAATGCATCAATTAAAAATATATAATTTGTAAGGCTATTGAGCTACATACTTTTTAAAACTAGGATTTCTATAATTTTTCGAAATTATTGGAAGAAAAACAAAATTATCAACACTACTTCGTAATAACACCGACGAGATACTATTAAAGACATATTGTAAGTAATTAAGAATTAAAAACTGATAATATTGTACTAATTTTATGATTTATTAGTTTAGTAGACATATTTATGCATTTAAAACTCAATAATACTCGATTTTTTTTTAAATTATAATTTCAGTGTTATCGTTTGATTATCAACAAAGTTTGATTATCAACAGAGATGATAACTGCAGAGAAAAAAATTGTAATTTTTCTGCAATATATAGGATATTATAGCTTTACAAGTATGCATATTTACTTATGGAATATTTATGTAATAAAAAATCATGAATTTAATAATGTATGAGCCAAATATTTATGTTAATAATAACAAATTTATGTCAATTATCGATAATGTCAGCATTCTTCAATTACCTCCGGACCCTTGGAGCCCTTTTTATACCACCGAAAATTTGCCCAAGTTGACAGTCTTTAATAATATCTCGTTGGTAGTAATAATAAGAATCGACTATAAATACCAGCTTATATTTTCTTTCATCACATTCTTTCAAAGATATCTTTATAACAATTTAATCATTTTTTTAGACGACTTTGTGCTTTCTGGATATATATGCATATTATCATTTACAACCGCAATTTTTGAATGTGAACAGGATTCGCTTTATATCAATTTTCAATTTAGCACGGATTCGCACCACATCAATTTTTCAACATTACGACTTTATCAACAGTATTGATAACGTGATATGTAGTTCACATTGTTTTATAAAAATGATGTTGGTGCCGTTAGTATACGAGAGCTTTTAAGTTTCAAGAGTAACCGTTCTGCGTCACTGTGTGTCACAAGAAAGGCCTGAATGTGAGATGTGGCCGCTCTCAGGTTTCTCTTTGGTATGTACACAGAAAATATTTTCAAGATACGAAGTACATTACATTCTACTATAGCATTTCGCAAATTAAACAGCTCGTTTTCATTTCATTTTGTTCTCATCAATTCTCTTTGATTCTCACTTTCATTATACGCGTATAATATAATTAACGTTTTAGTTATTTATATTTGACACATGTCAACGCGTCGTGGAGTTTGTTTTGTTCGCATGCGCACGCAATATCAAAATAAAAAGCGCATTTTTCGATATTTTTAGGTTTGTTTCTGTGGCTGAACTAGTGTATACTTTTGGAACTTAAAGTAAGATAAATGTATGTTTGATATTTGGCGAAAGAAAGTTCTAGTGCAGTACAGTTAACAGTATATAATATAAGAATAAAAAACACTTGCTTTACATTATCAGTACATCAACAAAATGATGAAATATGAAAGTTCCAAAATGAAAAAGTATGAGATTTTGAAGCCCATTGGCGAGGGATCTTTTGGACAAGTGTATAAAGCTAGAAAACGTGTAGATGGTGAACTTGTAGCTGTTAAAATGATAAGAAAGGTATATTGCTATTTGAAAACAAGTAAGATTTATAAATAACTTGTCCTTCTTCATGACTAATATCTTGATATATTTTGCAGTGTGGCAGATCACCTACGGAGCTCAAGAGTTTGCGTCAAGAATGCGAGATTCAACGTTATCTGCAACATCCAAATATCGTACAAATGCTAGATTCATTTGAAACAGAAAATGAAGTATGTCGAATTTGAAAAAAATTATGTTTAATAAGTAAAATATATTTTAGAGAGTCTGTAAAATATCTGATTTAGATCGTGGTTGTAACAGAATATGTAGACAAGGTATTGAATGACATATTGACCAAGGAAGGTAGATTGTCTGAGGAAAGAGCACAAGTAATAGCTTGTGATTTAGTATCTGCGCTTTATTATTTACATTCAAATCGGGTAATGCACAGGTTTGTATCTAATTATAGACGAAGAATGGCTTATAATATTAAATTATAATAATTGTATTGATATTATTAGAGATTTGAAACCACAAAATGTTCTCCTGGAAGCAAATGGTATAACTAAACTATGTGACTTTGGATTTGCTCGTAGTATGAGCACTGGTACTCATGTGCTTACTTCAATAAAAGGTACACCATTGTACATGGCTCCAGAACTTGTAGAAGAATACCCTTATGATCATAATGCTGATTTATGGTAAGTGTACATAAAGCCACATAAATATTTTAAATATCTATTTATGATTTATTCATGTAGGAAATATATCTTATAATTAATTGTATTTTCAGGTCTTTAGGTTGTATAGTTTATGAATTGATAGTAGGTTCTCCTCCATTTCAAACTTACTCGATTTTGCATCTGATTAAGTTGATTAGATTTGAAGAAATAAAGTGGCCAGACTTCATTTCTCCAATTTGCAAAAGCTTTTTACAGGTACAAATATTTATTGTGGTATTTGTTGTATATATTAACGCTATTGCATATACACATTTATCTATACTTTTATCACATAGAGATGTTTACTGATTTGCGAAAAGACATTGTGTCATTTGTGAATATTATACAATAGTTTGTTATTATAATATAATAAGTAAGTCATTACTATTTCAATTTCAGGGTTTGCTTCAGAAAGATCCTTCTCAACGATTAACTTGGCCCGCTCTTCTCCAACATCTGTTTGTCAAGGACCGAATTGTGATAGTAGATGGCACCGTACCTACTCCGTTTACAAATCCGCTATCTGCGAGTCAAGCAAGAGCAAAGCAGCAACAATTACAAAGTTTAGTGATGCGTGCTGCAAATCAATCCAAGTACAGTGTTAATTTTAATTATTCTTTTAAGGGGGTATTCTACTATATTACACATAGGTATTATTTTTTTTTTTGTGGAATTTTTTATGAAGAACCTATAAAAGTCATTGATATCAGGTTTTTCTCTAAACAATATGTAAGAATTTTTATATAAAAAGTGAAAATTAGTCATCAGTGAACCGCTTTAAAGTGATCGATGAAAAAAAACCTTTGCTCATGGCATCCATGACTGGACTAGTTCTGCTCGATTAAAACAAAAAATTCAAAATGATTGTTAATTAGTATGTCTTTATATCTATAATAGGTACCAGAATAAAAGAAAAATATTGAAAATTAAAAAAACCACTTTAAAAATTAAGTTTCGAAGTTTGCAAATTTTTTATTTCTTTGAAGGATTGTAAAAGTAAAAGAAAAATAAATAATATTTTAATGTAATCATGATAATGTAATCAGGGACAATAGCCACATGCGTTGAAAATGTACGCACAAGTTGGGCTCACTTGGTCAAATCGATTTTAAGATATCATGGAAGCCAGTTTGAAAAATACAATATTGAGGAAAACATGTTCAAAATTTTACATGCAGTTTACACTGAGAAAATTTTCACTTATTATTAATCAATTAATCCAGGACCATAGACGGGACTCTCCTTGTCCTACTGAGCTATTGTTTCCTCCCTGTGATTGAATCTTGTTTGCTTAGCGAACTCATTCGAATGTCGCTCCGAACAGCTGATACAAATATTGTTTGTGAGTGGACGTATATCTTCGCTTGCTGTCTAATAATGGCTTCCATAACACTCATTAGGAGAATAGCAAAGGCTTTTATTAAATATTATTACTACTAAGAAAGTGGTAATTTTTACAATTTTTGATCTGAATGTGTTTTGGAGCAAAGTTCAGATTGATAAATTTAAAGATTTATTATTATTCTGCTTCTAAACATCTTAAGGGCATGGTTGATTCTTTATATTTTGAAAGACCCTATTCTTTCTAAAATAACGTCACTCGAATCTTTGTCGATATATCTGCTGAGACTATACTGTCGTCTTTCCCGCTTGTTAATCTATCCTTTCCTGCCGCAGTAACTCTGTAAGTTTTGTGGATTGGAGTAAATCCTTTTGCACACATTTTCTATAACATATACTTGCAAAAAATGCAAAAAGAATATTCGATTTATCCGTTACAATAGAATGCCACCTTAAAGTATATGTATATACACAATAACTAACAT